TTTTACACACAGAAGCTTTTACACACAGACGCTTTTTACACACACACCCTTTTACACACAGACGCTTTTACACACAGACGCTTTTACACACAGACGCTTTTTTACACACAGACGCTTTTTACACACAGACGCTTTGACACACAAACACATTTACACACAGACCCTTTTACACACAGACGCTTTTACACACAGACGCTTTTTTACACACAGAGACTTTTACACACACAGACGCTTTTACACACAGAAGCTTTTACACACAGACGCTTTTACACACAGACACTTTTACACACAGACTTCTTTAACCAAGCAGACGCTTTTACACACAGACACTTTTACACACAGACCATTTTACACACAGACACTTTTACACACAGAAGCTTTTAAACACAGAAGCTTTTACACGCAGAGGCTTTTACACACAGACTCCTTTACACACAGACTCTTTTACACACAGACACTTTTACACACAGACTCCTTTACACACAGACTCTTTTACACACAGTCACTTTTACACACAGACCATTTTACACACAGACACTTTTACACACAGATGCTTTTAAACTCAGAAGCTTTTACACACAGACTCCTTTACACACAGGCGCTCCCACACACAGACCCCCGGCGCTTTTGCACGCGGACTCCTTTGCGCACAGACGCTTTTGCACACAGACTCCTTTACACACAGACGCTTTTACACACAGACACTTTTACACACAGACCATTTTACACACAGACACTTTTACACACAGAAGCTGTTAAACACAGAAGCTTTTACACACAGAAGCTTTTACACACAGACGCTCTTGCACACAGACGCATTTACACACAGACGCTTTTACACACACTCCTTTACACACAGACGCATTTACACACAGACGCTTTTACACACAGACTCCTTTACAGACAGACACTTTTACACACAGACACGTTTACACACAGACCATTTTACACAGACACTTTTACACACAGAAGCTTTTAAACACAGAAGCTTTTACACACAGAAGCTTTTACACACAGCAGCTTTTACACACAGACGCTTTTACACACAGACACTTTTACACACAGAATCCTTTACGCACAGACGCTTTTACACACAGACACTTTTACACACAGACCATTTTACACACACAGACACTTTTACACACAGAAGCTTTTAAACAAAGACACTTTTACACACAGAAGCTTTTACACACAGAGGCTTTTACACACAGACCCCTTTACACACAGACGCTTTTACACACAGACTCCTTTACACACAGACGCTTTTACACACAGACACTTTTACACACAGACACCCTTTACACACAGACCATTTTACACACAAACGCTTTTACTAAACACGGAAGCTTTTACACACAGACCCTTTTACACACAGGCGCTTTTACACACAGACGCTTTTTACACACAGTCACTTTTACACACAGAAGCTTTTAAACACAGAAGCTTTTACACACAGTCACTTTCACACACAGAAGCTTTTACACACAGACGCTTTTACACACAGAAGCTTTTACACACAGAAGCTTTTACACACAGACACCTTTACACACAGACCATTTTACACTGCTTTTACACACAGACTCCTTTACACACAGACTCTTTTACACACAGTCACTTTTACACACAGAAGCTTTTAAACACAGAAGCTTTTACATGCAGACCCTTTTACACACAGACGCTTTTACACACAGACGCTTTTACACACAGAAGCTTTTACACACAAAGCTTTTACACACAGACGCTTTCACACACAGACGCTTTTACACACAGAAGCTTTTACACACAGAAGCTTTTACGCACGGAAGCTTTTACACACAGACTCCTTTACACACAGTTTCCTTTACACACAGACGCTTTTACACACAGACGCTTTTACATACAGACCCTTTTACACACAGACCCTTTTACACACAGACACTTTTACACACAGAAACTTTTACACACAGAAGCTTTTAATTACACACAAACACTTTCACACACAAAGACCGGACCCGTGAAATCGCAATTTTACTGCAGTTTTTGACGTTCAACGTCCATTCGTGCGAAAGGGTCACGATGAACAAAGTAAAAGCGCAATTTTTCTTCAGATTTTGACGTCCAACGTCCATTTCGGGCGAAAAGGTTGCCCGTGACACCTCAAAATCGCAATTTTACCTGACTTTTTGACGTCCGACGTCCATTTCGTGCGAAAGGGTTGCCGCGGGACAAGTTAAATCGCAATTTTTCCTCAGTTTTTGACGTCCAACGTCCATTTCGTGCGAAAAGGTTGCATTTGAAAGGGTTGCATTTGACCAAGTTCAATCGCAATTTTTCCTCAGTTTTTGACGTCCAACGTCCATTTCGTGCGAAAGGGTCGCATTTGACCAAGTTCAATCGCAATTTTTCCTCAGTTTTTGACGTCCAACGTCCATGTCGTGCGAAAGGGTTGCATTTGACCAAGTTCAATCGCAATTTTTCCTCAGTTTTTGACGTCCAACGTCCATTTCGTGCGAAAGGGTTGCATTTGACCAAGTTCAATCGCAATTTTTCCTCAGTTTTTGACGTCCAACGTCCATTTCGTGCGAAAGGGTTGCATTTGACCAAGTTCAATCGCAATTTTTCCTCAGTTTTTGACGTCCAACGTCCATTTCGTGCGAAAGGGTTGCGCAGGACGCTTCAAAGTCGCAACTTTTCCTCAGTTTTTGGCGTCCAACGTCCATTTCGTGCGAAAGGGTTGCAATGGACAAAGTAAAATCGCAATTTTACCTCAGTTTTTGGCGTCCAACGTCCATTTCGTGCGAAAGGGTTGCGTTTCGTGGCGCTCCGGCGGCACCGCCCCCGCCTAAAGAGAGAAATAGAAGAAGAGCGAGAGGAGATCTGCAGATGTGAAGGTGTGAAGATCTAGATCTGCAGGTGTGAGGGTGTGATGATGTAGATCTGCAGATGTGAGGGTGTGAAGATCTAGATCTGCAGGTGTGAAGGTGTGAAGATCTAGATCTGCAGATGTGAGGGTGTGAAGATCTAGATCTGCAGGTGTGAAGGTGTGAAGATCTAGATCAGCAGATGTAAAGGTGTGAAGATGTAGATCAGCAGATGTGAGGGTGTGAAGATGTAGATCAGCAGATGTGAAGGTGTGAAGATGTAGATCAGCAGGTGTGAGGGTGTGACGATGTAGATCAGCAGATGTGAGGGCGTGAAGATGTAGATCAGCAGATGTGAAGGTGTGAAGATGTAGATCAGCAGATGTGAGGGTGTGAAGATGTAGATCAGCAGATGTGAGGGTGTGAAGATGTAGATCAGCAGATGTGAGGGTGTGAAGATGTATGAAGATGTATTACAACGGCTGCTTTTTTACGAAGAACCCTTCGCAGGCGCTCTCGGGAAAAAGTCAAAAAAACAAACTTCAAGAACAACAACATCAACAACAACTATGGAAATAAGAAAACCACACAAAACATACAATAACGACACAGAAATTACAGCTCAACATGGGCCCGACCTGGCCCAACATGGGCACAACCTGCGCTTAAGATAGGGGAGACTGCTTCCATACAGGCAAGCACTGCGCATTATGCCTGCCTCAGTTCTTAACAAAGCCCTCCCTGGGTTTGCGCGGAGACTCTCGGCCCAATCTTCCCACACCATGCGCCAAACGTCGTTGCTTGGCCGGCGCCCGGCTGTCAGGCGTAAGCCTTTAAATCCCAAGAACTATAGAACATGATATGTCGCTGGTATCCTTTTTGAAATCTGCCGAGATTGCTGCGAGTCTTGATTTCAAAAAACGTGTTGTTTCATCTGATAGAGAGTGTGTCAGTGGATTCGTCGTCGCCAAGCCCTAGCCGCTAGGCCTTGAAAAAAACAGCGCATACCATACCAGCTGTCTTCCTTTTTTTGAGATGGGCCCGGGGTGGAGTTTCTTTGTCTTAGTGTCAGCCTTTCAAGAAACCATGTCACGAACGCACAGCACCGTTGTTGTCAAAAGCCTCTTGCTGGATCTCTGAGCTGTCCACTCAATACACAACTTGTGTTTCAAACTACAAACTACCCAAGTTGTAGTTCTCAAAGGGGCGTTCAAACCTGTTCAAACCCTACCCGCTCCACAAATGACAAGGTGATTGTCCAACCCTCAGGATTGTGTATACTATTGTATACTGTATGTCCAATGTGTATATTGTTTTGAATTGCTTTTTAGAATTCTTCCATGGTCTTCCAGTCGGTGAATCACCAATCAATGCCCCGAAGCTGACCGCTGGGAGCGCAGGCATTGGCCGGACGCTCGGGCTCCTCGTAGAGTCCCACCAGCACACGAGTCAGCTGGGAGATGATCCCATTCTTCCTGTCAGTTTCTGTCAGTTTCTGTCAGTCCGTGGGAGTTTCGGCGTTTCAACAGGAAACTGCATGAAACGAAGAATAAACACGTTTTGCGATGCTGCGAAGTACATTGCTTGAAAACACATTTCAAAACAATCATGTTGCACAGGCATTGTAACTCTTTCAAGCTCAGGGAAACTTTGTCGAATATTCCGACGGTTTCATAGATCCAAATGATGGATCCTTGGTGAATGCACAAAATTGCCAAGCTGCTCCAAATACTTGCGGAACTCTTTCTTCTGGGAGTCTGCGGTTTCGTAGCTCATGGCCCTGATTCGTTTCAGAAAATCGGAAGCTATTTCGTCTGTACGAAATGAAGCATCAAGAAACTTCTCAAACCTTGAGAACTTGAAAGAACTTCGGACAGAACTTCGGACAGAACTTCGGACAGAAAGTGGTTTGAAAGAACTTCAAGCTTACGAGCAGCTTACGTCACGACCAATGTCTGCAACTTGACGCCAGGCCCTCACCCGGACCAACAGGGGACCCTTTGCACAGAGCAAAACACTACCCAGCCCCATGCCACAGCATTCATCCAACTTTCGAGAGCTCTTCACGTTTGCCATCGTTTGCCTGTATTCAAATGTCTTCCACCCATCAAAAAAAATGAAAGCTTCCACCGGTTTCCATTTCCACCAATGTTTTCATTTGAAAAAAAATCGGGATTTTCCTGCCAGATGTGCCTCCCTCGACGAGAGCTTGAGCTTGGCTGCTGGGCACTGGGCTGAGCCGAAAAAGAGCTGCCGAGCGCAGAAATGGACAGCGTTCAATTGGTTCAATGATGAGCTTCAACAAATAATGGGATGAACTAACCATAGCTACTACCAATGTGGATTTGAACATTGTTGTATGTATATAGCGTAATGTAAAGTAATTCAATACAATGGAATGCAATGCGATGTAATGTAATTTAACGAAATGCAATGTAATATAGCGTAACGCAATGCAATGCAATGTAATGTAACCATATGTAATGTATAAAATGAAATTAATGCAGTGTAATGCAATACAATGTAATGTAATGCAATGGAATGGAATGCAATGGAACAGAATGGAATGCAATAGAGAAATTCAATGCAACGTAACGCAATGCAATGCAATGTAATGTAATGTAGGGCAATGCAACGCAATGCAACGGAATGCAATGCAATGGAATGCAATGCAATGCAACGCAATGCAATGGAATGCAATGCAATGTATTGCAATGTAATGTAATGCAACGCAAGGTAATGCAACGCAATGCAATGCCATGTAAGGCAACGCAAAGCAATGTAATGCAATGCAATGTAGGTATGTGTGTATGTGTGTATGCGTGTATGGATGGTATGGATGGTATGGATGGTATGGATGGTATGGATGGTATGGATGGTATGGATGGTATGGATGGTATGGATGGTATGGATGGTATGGATGGTATGGATGGTATGGATGGTATGGATGGTATGGATGGTATGGATGGTATGTATGGTATGGATGGTATGGTATGGTGTGATAAGGTATGGTATGGATTGTTGCTGTTTCAATGTGTTTCATGTTCTCTCAGCAGATGGGGCCCACCATTGCGTGAAGTCTTTGCGCTTCCCCAGCAGCTTCACATGGAAGACTCTTCATTTACGTGGATGACTCTGCATTTGAAGTAGGACTTCGTGGCCCCAAGCATCAAAAGACAAACGCCCCAACATTCATCAGCACATCCACAAAGTATCACAAAGTCACGTCAATTTGGTAAGAACGGCAATTCTCAAAACATGTTGCACCTGGCTGCACCCTGTTGCACCGGTAGAAACTGCACAAAGCTTTGGGGCCAGCCGTGCAAAGCACCTGTTTTTGCCAATCACTCTGTTCACGGCATCCAGGCAGTGTGGCGTAGCCCTTGCTGATGTCCTGGTGTGCCACAGGGATGATGGATTTCATCGTTTCCGAATCACCTTTCCTTCAAATCCCTTCATCACAGATCTTCATGAAGTTGAGCTTGAACATTGGAACACATGGGAAGATCGAATGTCGTAAAATTTGTCATCACAAAGCTATCCTTTCAGATTGCAATCTCGCTGAGGGTGGAGCTGCTGAATCCAAGAGTTCAATGGTGTCTAGTCCTTGGAGCTTGACATCTAAGGAAGACAACAAAGTGAAGCATCAACCCCAACAGCTGGACTTGAGACAAACCGACCCAAATTCGAAGTATCGGGAAGGCGTTTCTGATGTTTCACCAAGAAAGCAATGTCTAACTTGCATCGTAGGTGCCGACGATGCTCCTGAAGTGGGGACGCCTGGCGTCATGACAGCAACCCAGCAGAAATGTAGGCAGCAGCCCCCGGCAAGGACAGGCCCATGCTGGATGGTTTGGTTCCCATCTTTGATGGGGTATTGCAAATCCTCCAATTTTCTGGACCAATGATATCAGGAAGGCACTTTTGATGGTTTCTTGTGGTTGATTGTGAGAAATTCGGTGATCGCCCATTATTTTAGCGCCTATATAATTTCTTGCTTCGGATTAAAATTGGTTGCATTCCCGAAAATCTGTTGCTGAGATGTCCATGGCCGCGGCCCCGGCTATATAATTTTCATATGTTTTGACCCATAGCCAGCACATGGCCAGGCATCAATGAATCATACTTCCGAATCAATCTGAATCAATCCGAATCTTGAGAAATTCTGTTAAATACAATCCATCTGTCACCGTGCCTCACACAGCAGCTGCTGCAGCTCTGTGGTGCCCAGCTGTTCAGGCCCCACTTCAGTGCTCCTGTCACGCGGTAAGGATCCGTTAGGATCAATCGGAGCATTCGAATCAGAAGGACATTTCGAAGATGAGCAAAGTTATGCTGGCAGTTTTGCAAAGTTTCAAGGGAGATGGACATCAGATGCTTTAAGGACGGATACCATGGGTAATTGGCATCATCTACCTCCATGGTAGTGAACTACTGAGTCATCAGCGGCTGCGCAGCTAAGCAGGGATCTTGCAAATGACACAAACATATACAAACACAAACACTTCCTGCACAATCAAAAGTAGATATTATAAATTATAGTGTTTTTTTGGAATTGCTTTGATTGCAAAACAAAATTCCACGTTCTTGAAGCAAGTCACTGCAAAGTGCAAGATCACCCACGCGTTTCGACGTCGTTCCAATTGAGAGAGCTGTACCTCAGTACTCGAATAAGGGGAGCTTTGTATCTAGTTGACATGAACCCACATTGTCATTGCCGCCATCATGGCTGTACTTCTATTCCATATTCATTGAAATATCCAATGTATTTAAAATATGCATATTTAAATATATAGATATATATATATATATAGATAGATAGATAGATATATTGTGTGTGTGTCTGTATGTATGTATGTAATGTATGTATGTATGTATGTATGTATGTATGTATGTATGTATGTATGTATGTATGTATGTATGTATGTATGTATGTATGTATGTATGTATGTATGTGTGTATGTGTGTATGTGTGTATGTGTGTATGTGTGTATGTGTGTATGTGTGTATGTATGTATGTATGTCTGTCTGCCTGCCTGCCTGCCTGTCTGCCTGTCTGCCTGTCTGCCTGTCTGCCTGTCTGCCTGTCTGTCTGCCTGTCTGCCTGTCTGCCTGTCTGCCTGTCTGCCTGTCTGCCTGCCTGCCTGTCTGCCTGTCCCTGCCGGTCTGCCCCGTCTGCCTGTCTGCCTCTGCCCCCTGTCTGCCCTTTCTGCCTGTCTGCCTGTCTGCCTGTCTGCCTGTCTGCCTGTCCTGTCTGTCTGCTGTCTGCCCTGTCTGCCTTCTGCCTGTCTGTCCTGTCTGTCCTGTCTGTCCTGTCTGTCCTGTCTGTCCCTGTCTGGTCCTGTCTGTTCCTTTCTTTCCTGCTGTCTGTCCTGTCCTGTCTGTCTGTCCTGTCTGTCCTGTCGTTCCTGTCTGTCCTGTCTTCCTGTCTGTCCTGTCTGTCCTGTCTGTCCTGTCCTGGTCCTGTCTGTCCTTCCCTGTCCTGTCTGTCCTGTCTGTCCTGTCTGTCCTGTCTGTCCTGTCTTTCCTGTCTTTCCTGTCTGTCCTGTCTGTCCTGTCTTTCCTGTCTTTCCTGTCTTTCCTGTCTTTCCTGTCTTTCTTTCTTTCTTTTCTTTATTTCTTTCTTTCTTTCTTTCCTTTCTTTCTTTCTTTCTTTCCTTTCTTTCTTTCTTTCTTTTCTTTATTTCTTTCTTTCTTTCTTTCCTTTCTTTCCTTTCTTTCTTTCTTTCTTTCCTTTCTTTCTTTCTTTCTTTTCTTTATTTCTTTCTTTCTTTCTTTCCTTTCTTTCTTTCTTTCTTTCTTCCTTCCTTCTTTCTTTCTTTCTTGTCTGTCTTGTCTGTCTTGTCTGTCTTGTCTGTCTTGTCTGTCTTGTCTGTCTGTCTGTCTGTATGTATGTATGCAGGTAGGTAGGTAGGTATGTATGTATATGTAGGCACGTAGGTATGCAGGTATGTACGTATGTGCGTCTGTACGCATGTACTTATGTACGTACGCCCCTGTGTACGTGTATACGTGAGTACATGTGTACGTGTGTGCGTGTGTACGTGTGTACGTGTGTACGTGTGTACGTGTGTATGTGTGTATGTGTTTTTGTGTGTGTGTACGTGTGTATGTGTTTATGTGCTTATGCGTGTATGCGTGCATGCGTGTATGCTTGCTTCCTTGCTTGCATGTATGGATGTATGGATGTATGGATGTATGGAATGTAATGGAATGTAATGGAATGTAATGGAATGTAATGGAATGTAATGGAATGTAATGGAATGTAATGGAATGTAATGGAATGTAATGGAATGTAATGTAATGTAACGCAATGTAATGCAAAGCAATGCAAAGCAATGCAATGCATGTATGTACGTATGAGTATGTACGGATGTACGGATGTACGGATGTACGGATGTACGGATGTACAGATGTACGGATGTATGTATGTACGTATGTACGTATGTACGACGTATGTACGTATGTATGTACGTATGTACGTATGTACTCCTGCTCATGTACTCATGTACTCATGTACGTATGTACGTATGTACGCATGCATGCATGCATGCATGGATGCATGGATGGATGGATGGATGTATGTACGTATGTACGTATGTATGTACGTATGTATGCATGCATGCATGTATGTGGTGGTTGATCTAAATTCTTTTATTCAGAAACGGGCATTCTTCGCATCAAACTTTCGCGAGCTCCATATTTGTCTTTTGCAGGACCCATGTGAGGCAACAATGCTCTTATTAAGACTCAGTCATTGCCTGCCCAGCTTTATACGGGCACAATGATGATTCATAATATGTAACTTTCGTGAAACCTTTACGAAATAACATCTCACTTTCGCAAACTCGAAAAATGACTTTCGCGACGGTTAGGGACACAACATGAGCGTTCTTCGCAAGCATATTTCTTTACAAGGACGTTTAGATCAATCAGAATATATACATATGTATATTACATAATGTATCTACACATTACATATGTATATTTTTGTATATTCACAGTAGGATACGTATCCTCACACCCCTGACATGTCGCTGCCACGGATTTCCGTGGCTTCCGAGGTGCCGGGAAGCCTCTGCGGAAGGTCCGATAGCCTCGAGGCGAGCAGGGAGAAGCACCATGAAGCGGTAAAGAAATCATTACATTTGTCTTCACCAGAGCTGCTTGGACGATTTGAAAATGTAAGAAATCACAAGCTGCCTGCTAATGTATCAGCAAACACGACACCAATTTCTTATGATTTCTTGGA